AGCTAAATGGCTCTCTTTATCAAAAGAAGATGTTACAGTGTGTAAAATATAGACTGCTATAGTAGAATTTAAAACTTTGTCCAATTGATACTGGAGACAAATAAATTCCATTGCCATCTTCTAATATAAATATTTTATTAGAAGCTCTTTTGAGAGGGCAATTAATTGTTTATTTAGTTTTCTTTAATCCAAGCTTCTCTTAATTTTTCACTAGTTCTTTTCATTAATATTTAATTGATTTTGTTTTGGACGTCTATAACTGTCATTTATGAGGTTATGGAACTGAGAATGCAGTACTTAAAATAAGTACGTAAAATAAGCAGAACCAATAGCAAACAAAGTTTAAGGCAAACAGAGTCCGACAAGGGGTAAGGCAGAGTCAAGTTCAGGTAATTCAAGGTCAATTTCCAGGCAGCAGAGGTTCACAAATGATAGACAGGCCAGAGGTCAGATAAATCCAGGAGAGCAAGTACAACACAGCACGGTAACAGGGAGAGTAGCACAGAACAACTGAGCAATGAAGACTCAGCTGTTCTGTGTTTAAATAGGGTGCCAGTTGTAAGACACACTTATCTGGTTAGCCTCCATAACACCCTATTGGTGTATGGAGTGTCTTTCACTGGGTTGCCATGGAGGAGAGAGCGACTGATTAAATGTGTTCCAGCTGCGTCTATAGATCTGTCCAGCGGCATTGGAGCGATTGCGCACATCTCCCAGATATCTACTATTTCCTGGGAGACGTGACGCTATCCAAGTTCGGAGGTCGTGGGCCGCCCCTTGTATTTGCACATGCGCTCACTCGGGCGGCTTTGGATCGCCGCTGGAGCAGCGAAGGAATAGAGGGAAATCGTGACAATAACTTCCTGTTATGGTTCTATAAATCTGTATTCTCTTTGGCTGGATCTTGTTTATTTGTCTTTATAGCCTTAGGTAGGTGAGCGTAGATAGATGCCACATTTTCTGATCTTTTTATTATGATTGCTATTTATACTAATTACCATACCTCTGATCCCAGACTTGAAAATGCACGAGTTAGTTGCAGGGGAGACGCCACTTGGATCATTAGCTTCAAAGAACTATTGGATAGACTTTCCTACTTGTTCCACTATTAGTTTGCCATACAATAATCCCTCATTCACTCTCCATTTGGAGAAACCTCCGTTGCTATACTCCTATTTCATCTCCCAATTCAAAGATATGGTCAAATCATGTTTTGTATCTAAATTTAATTTTACTTAGGCTTTCTACTGATTTCATGTTCCCCCATACCATGTTGATTCTTTAGTATGATAGACGAATTCTAGAAAAAAGTGTGTACTCTCACTCTATGTGATGCAATATTCACCACAAATCTAATCAATCAAAGTTATCTGTGGCAACATTCAGGGTTTTTGGTAGTTTCATTAATATTTTAGCTGTTTTTTTTGTTTTTAGCCAACTTCTTATCTAACAAGGGATATAGCACACAGTTGTTATTAGACATTTATTAGGTATTAGACATTTCTCTATTTTGAACTCATCTACATAGTCTCAAATATGGCATACTGGAGCTTTATTGGATAGTCTAAGAATAATTAATGTGTACATTTCTTCATTAATTTTACAGACAATTATTACAAATCTAGCATCTGGATCCAATCTTTTATAGATAATGTACAATTTGATTGCATAAAAAAAGATTATTGCAACCATTTTATTTTCTTGATGAAATGACTGCAAAATAGTTAGAAATATATATCCACCCCATTTAAGTGTATCACATTTTTTCCTGTGAGTTTCCTGCAAATATCCTATATCCATATTTTTTTTGACTAGGAAATTATACACTAACAATCTTTAAAGCTGTGTGTTTAAACCTCGGGTGTTGATTGAGAGCAAACTGATCATCCTGCAACTGTTATAACTCTCCTCTTCTTCGTGGCATTACCCATACATACACACAGCAAAGACATAGCAGACGATCTTATATCCAAGATCTAGTCAAATATGAATTTTATGGGGTGGCACGCTGCCAAGATGGTGGGGCCCACTCCTTCATTCTGTGAAAATCAGAATACTTTTCTGTGTTCCAGTAGAATCACAAAGTAGGGAGATTGCGTCATGCTGATGTGGAGTGTAATTCTTTCTTAAACCTTTATTACATAAAATATATCCCTAATGAAATATAAACTTACAATATATTTTACTTTAATTTATTGCAAATTTAAACTGAATTAGTTTTCATTCCTAGTAGAGTTATTAGCATCTGAGGATTAGCTTAATAGCAAATATAGTTACATAGTTACATAGCTGAAAAGAGACTTGCGTCCATCAAGTTCAGCCTTCCTCACATTTGTTTTTTGCTGTTGATCCAAAAGAAGGCAAAAAACCCAGTTTGAAGCACAATTTTGCAACAGGATAGGAAAAAAATCCTTCTTGACCCCAGAATGGCAGTCAGATTTATCCTTGGATCAAGCAGTTATTACCCTACATTGAAAGATTATGTCCTTGAATGTTCTGTTTTTGCACATATGCATCTAGTAACTGTTTGAACATCTGTATGGACTCTGATAAAACCACTTCTTCAGAGAATTCCATATCCTTATTGTTCTTACAGCAAAAAAACCTTTCCTTTGCCTTAGACAAAATCTTCTTTCTTCCAGTCTAAACACATGACCTTGTGTCCTATGTAAAGTCTGGTTTGTGAATAGATTTCCACACAGTGGTTTGTATTGGCCCTGAATATATTTGTATAATGTTATCATATCCCCTCTCAGGCGACGTTTTTCTAAACTAAATAGGTTTAAATTTGTTAACCTTTCTTCATGGCTGATATGTTCCATCCCTTTTATTAGTTTTGTAGCCCGCCTCTGCATGTTTTCTAGTGCCATAATATTCTTCTTTAGAACATGTGCCCCAAATTGCACAGCATATTCAATATGTGGTCTTACCAGTGATTTATAAAGAGGCAAAATTATATTCTCGTCCCGAGAATGAATGCCCTTTTTCATGCATGACAATACCTTACTGGCCTTGGCCACTGCTGATTGACATTGCACATTGTTGCATGGTTTGTTTTCTATAACAATTCCCAAGTCCTTTTTGTGTGTTGTTATCCCTAATTCGTTTCCATTAAGGGTATACGTTGCTTGTGTATTCTTTACGCCGAAGTACATAACTTTACATTTTTCAACATTAAATTTAATCTGCCATTTGAGTGCCCAGTCCCCCAGTCTATCTAAATCCATCTGTAGCAAAGTAATATCTTGCTCACATTGTATTATCTTACAGAGTTTTGTGTCATGTGCAAACACTGAAACGTGACTTTCAATGCTGTCTTCAAGATCATTTATAACCATGTTAAATAGAAGGGGTCCCAGAACAGACCTCTGAGGGACACCACTTGCCACCTCTGTCCAGCTTGAAAATTTACCATTTACCATATCAAAGTAAGAAGGCAAAATGAAGAAAAAGAAGATAAATTAAAAATATTTATTTTCTCCTTTCTTCTTCCTTATTCTATTCCCTTCCCCTTCCCTTCTCTCTTCCACTGCCCTCCTCTCTTCCCTCCCCTCCTCTCTTTCCCTCTTCCTCTGCCTTCCCCCTTTCCCTAGTCAACTCTCTTTCTCTATCCCATCTCTTATTCATTTCTATATATCATAATATT